CGTCAAAAACTTACGAAATCTTTCTACTATAAATCCCCCCCCTCCCCTCTGTTTTACACCTATACCTTCCCGCCCTTTCTACGGGGAAAATAACATTCTTATCCTTTGAGAAAAATACTTCGATAACGGTGTGTGTGTGTGTGTGTGTGTCTATCCGCGCGTGCACGTTAATTGGAATCTTACATTTATTTATCTCTATCTTCTTTCCTTGTATTTTTATTATCATTGTTTCAATTTAATTTCTGGTCAATTAGAAAAAATTAACGAAAAATAAAAAAAAACAATTGACCGATTGATAAATAATTTAATAATAATTATCAATGTGTTCACACAATAGTAACGATAATAATCTTTAGAAGATAATATGTATAAAAAAAAAAAGAATTTTTCTTCGTCATTGATAAGACAATAAATTGTTCAAAATAATGACGAATAATAGGGACACCCTCCCTCAAAAAAGAAAAAGTTAGCCAAAGTTTATCTCATCGAAGTAGATATATGAGATTACTACAGATATGATAGTATAAGAATAAGAATAATAAGAAGAAGAATAAATAAAAGGAAACGGGGATAGAAGATGGGAAAGGAGTGGAAGGAAGGGTGGGAGGGCCGGGGGGTTATGGTGGTGGTAATGTTGAGGATGACTCGGCCTAAGTGTGTTTCTTTACCTTCGGCCTCGCCTCTTCCTCTCCTAACCGCACCACGATTCGTTCTAACGTTGCCTTTACACGTGTGACGTAAGAGCAAGGTCTTACGGTATCTCCGACACACAACGGGCCTACATTACGTGAGTGTTCATACACGCGACCCGCATGTAGGTACTTATGTACCTGCGCGAAAGATCCGCTACACGTTCCAACTACGAACAAACTTAAACGTATATACACATATTTTCTCCGTTAACAACATACTTCAACACCCCTCCGCACCTAATCCATCCCCATACTCATACCCATTCCCACTCCCACTCCCATCACGTTTTTCTTATTCTTCATCTTCATCTTTATGTTCATCTTCATCTTTTTGTTTGCTTGCTTGGTTGGTTGATTTTCTTGCATCGATTCCACACCATCATCCTATTACTTAATTCTTCTTCCTTCTAACAGATTAATTTGAAAGCATCCTTCACACCTGTATTTCGTGGCTCGTTAAAGGTGCAATTAATCGTCAGGCTTAGCTTACGATCGGTATACCCAGAGTATGCAATCAAGTATCCGTATCTAAGGTGGTATCAACCTGAACTATATATTATGAATAAGAGTCGAGTTTATCGATTATTATTTTTATTAATATAATATATGTCAGTAATTAATATTCAAGATTTTTGATTATGTGAAATGAATTATTATTGGATTTATTTTATTTATGTTGTTTGTATAAAGTATTATTAAGGAATTAATAATCGATGTTTTAATATTAGGTTTAAGTTGAAATTTTGAAGGTTGATCTATTTTCTCTTTAGGGTTGAATTTATGTTTTAATACAATTTATTATCTTAAAGTATTCAAATCAATGTAGTAGTTAAATATGTTCCAGTATTCACACACGTATATACTTTAATATATTAAATAATATTGTTTTATATATTATATAAAATATATTTCGAATGGGTTGAAATATCGTATGAATGATCGAGTTAATATGTTGTTATCAAGAGTAGTGTTAAAGTTTATTCTTTAAAAGAGTCATCAAAGAAGATGTATCAATCTTAAGATTTTCTTGAATTGCTATGTCATCGTTAGATGGTTAAAAGGTGTTAAGTTTGAAAGAAATCTATCATTACCAATGTAGATTCACACCTGAATCGTGTGTTCACGATGACGAGTAGTGTCCTCTTCATCTTAACGTGCCGACAAAAGTAAACAAACAAGCAACAAAACTTCGACACATAGAGATACGTGTACTTACGCTACCTACATATAACTACTTTTATATATATATCTATAGGTATGTTTATATATATACATATATACGGATAACACATATGGGATATACAGTTAGGAGTACCGTTCTGAAAATCCAACGGCTCGTATCGAATAGAAGAGAACGCGAGTCACAACTAAAACTCTCTTCGCGATAACCGTTTATCCATAAGCCAGAAACCATAACCATACCCGGATTTCTAATAAAATACGAATCGATTATCAAATTAACGATAATTCGTGTTTCTTTATTATTATTATTTTTATGAAAATATCTACTTGATAAATGTATTCTCATTAATCTGGTTTCCACAAGAATGAAGCTCGGTAAACTCGACTTTAATTCTCACAGACCGATTATTGATCGTTTCATAATTGGATACTACTTTCTACAAGGTTACAAAACACTTTAAAAAGTATGGTAGGAGTTTAAAAATATTCTACCATAGTTTAATAACTACAAATATGAATAATAGAATATATATATATTTTATTTTTTAATACAATCTTTAATAAATTTTATTTAAAAATATACATAATACTTTTGATTAATATTATTTTTACGTATAACATTTGATAAGAATATTTCCTGTGTAAGGATGAACCGGTTTTATTCGTTTTCATTTTATCAAAAGAATTAATAATGGTTGTGTGTATAGGAAAGAAATGATGGCAAGAGCAAGGTGCGATATTACAATAGAGAATCGAAGTAAATAAAAATGGACAGGTGTGCTATTGAAATCGCAAGAGACCGGCAAGTGCGAATACAGTTGGGGTCAAACAAGTGCGCGTTGCTAACGCGGATCGAAGGTATGAGAAAAAGAGAGGGATGGTATAAAAGGGGAGAGGGTTGTTTAAAGAGGAAGTCTTTGCGTTTGCGCTTTTCTACGATTCCTATAGCCCAAACCAATCCACCCACTCACCCAACTCTAACGCGATTCGAGTTACCTTCTGACTCCCGACAAATTCGATATTTCGAAGGAAATTTATGTTCCGTTCGTTGGTGGTAGCTGTCCGAAATGCGGTTAAAAAGATTTGCTAGCAAGGAAACGAGAGCCGCTCCTTCGAAAATTTCGCATTAATAGGAGGGATATTGAATGCAATCGATAAAACGCGATCGAATTTTTTACACACACAAACACACACAACGTTTCGTCGTTATTATTTTAAACAATTTTTATAATGAATTATTTTCTAACAATAAGCACACGAAAACCCCGATTAAAATAACCCCCAGTCAACAATATAATAATCCACGTGTTTGAATTAACAAATTGGCACGAACTTATCGGGCAACTCGATACTTAAAACGTCGTTACATTTTAATTATATCTTTGTTTTCGTATTAAAACAAAATTGATAAATCAACGAAAAGATATTATACACGAGAAGAGAAGAGAAGAGAATTTTGAAATTGCCGGGCAAAAGCAACCACCACCCCCGGTGAGTTACGAAGCTCTAACGCGGCCATTGTGATTTTGCGGGTCAAATAGAATAGCTAACTAAGAATGTGTAAAAGTAGTAAAAGAAAGATTATAAACTGGCAAACGAGTTAGCAGACAAGTAGGGTAGGGCAAATAGGTATGCAGGCAGACAGATAGTTGAACGAATAATCAAATAGATAAACTGACAAATAGAAAATAAAAAAAGAGGACGGATAAAAAGTGTGCGTTAGAAGGGTGCGTGAACAACTAGAAGAGGGTGAATGATAACAGCGCCAATGAAGATAAAAACGCGGTCAAATATGGAAGTAAATAATCGATCTGGGCGTCATCTGGTGTAAATTTGTCCAGGCTCGAGCCACTTGGTTCTCCCCGAGAATAGAGGAGAGTGAGAAACACAGCGCACATAATATCACCGTGAAACTAAAGCGCACCCGTTCGGCGCCCAAAAAACGACGGTGTGTGTTCCTCCTCATATCGCCGAGGGGGTTGTTTTATTTAATAAGAATCGCGCGTAGGAGTTCGTGCGTCACGTAATTGAAGGGAAAAAAAAACGGGGGTGGGTTTGGGGGAAAAGAGGGGTTAAAAAAAGGTTAACACAATTTATACGCTAGTGGATAATAGTTTGGAGTAAGAAGAAAGATTAAGAAGGAAGTAAAGAAGGAAGGAGTTCGAAGCTGGAGCGGTGGTACGTCGCGACGACGTTGACGGTGGTAACGAAGAGAAAGAGGAGGAGGAGAGTAAGGAGGAGGAGGAGGAGGAGGAGGAGGAGGAGGAACAACGACGACAAAGATCCGTCACACGGTAACGTTCAGGCAGAGTATGGTGGTGGTGAAGGTGGTGGTGGTGTTGGTGTTGGTGCTGCTGCGTCGTCGACCATGACGATGATGACGTCAACTCTCACGAGATGATTGCTGTGAAAAAAAACAATAAAACATGGAAAAACAATAAAAGGAAAGAAAGGGAATATCACCGGCTAGCGTGTAAGAAACGAGGGTGTGTTTCTCATTGAGCGAGAAATAAAGGGTGGGAGGGAAAGGAAAGGGGGAAAAAGAAAGAGACAGAGAGAATATTGTCAAGAAGAAGAAGAAGAAGAAGGGAAGAAAAAGAAGGAGGAGCTAGGGGTAGGAGGAGGAGGAGGAGGAGGGTGTCGCGCGGTCGTCGAGTGTGTTCGCGTCCGCGCGAGAAATGATCAAGGACGAGAAGGATAGGAAGAGGAGGAAGAAGAGTTCGCTCGAAAAGGGTGCTGCTCCCTTCTTCGGGCTGCCGAAGGAGGTGGTGGTGGTGGTGGTGGTGGTGGTGGTGGTGGGCAATCGTGGGAAGGTTTCTTCGCGAGGACGTCTCCTCGCCGTCTCGGAGACGTGCCGCCTTTTGCTATTCGCGAGTTTACAACTATAGCTTGTCGTTGATTATAATAATAATAATAATAATATATATATATATATTTGAGGTGTGTGTGTGGTCTTGGTGATGATGATGATGATGATGATGATGCTGATGCTGATGATGTAGTGAATGGGGAAGAGGATCGGTGTTGGTGATCGATCTTATACGGATCGTGTTGGTGCGGAATCATTTTCGCGAAGAGGAATCGTAGGGAGAGGGAAAGAGAGGGTGGAAGGCAGGGTGGGAGGGAGGGAGGGAGAGAGACAAAGCTAGTCGACGGTTTGAACGAGACCCACTGACCTATCGACCCGCGTACGCGATTCTACCGTGGCGTCCCTCGTACCTTCCTTCATTTTTTCTTTCGATCGAATAATCGTAGGATACAAATCTTCATCTTTATCTTTATCACGCACAACACATCATCATTGTTCTAAGGTAAAACAACAACGGGACGCGTCGTTTTGTTGTTGCCCGTGCAAATTGACGACAACAACACAACGAAAACGAAGAAAACGAAAACGACGAAGACGAAGACGAAGACGACGACGAAGAAGAAGAAAACGACGACGAAGAAAAAGAAAACGACGAAGACGACGACGACGACTATGCGCTGCTGTTCTTGGTGCGCGAATCAACGAGTCGTTCTTTGAACGAGACCCACTGACCGACCTATCGACTCTCTCATCTACTAACCGAGCACCGTTTTCCTTCTCTCTCCTCTTTCTCCCCTCTTCTTCTTTCTATCCGTCCACCCGTTCAGAAACAACCCTCCACGTCGTCATCAACGTCGTCATCGGCCCGTCGTCGTGTTGGTTTATCGTCCTCGTCACCAAAACGTTATTCTTCTTTCCTTCCTTCTTTCCTTCTTTCCTCCCTCTTCCCTTTCCCTTCCCTTCCTATTCCTTCTACCTTAAGTCACCCTTCACTTCTCTCTCTCTCTCTTTTCTATCATCTAACACGCTCGGTATTCCTTTTGATATCGGATGCGTCGAACCTTAAGAAGGATCTCCATTGATCAGTTCTATCTAAAAGGAACAACAACAAGAAGAGACAAAAAAAGGATATGAAATAAAAACTGCCCAAGAATAATAATATTAATCACTGGCAGAATATAATAACTTGGTAATTCTACTCTGTTATCGAACGTAATCGATGTCACGTCATTCGAGATCGTTAGATCACCGTGTTCATTGGAACAACTCAATGCCTTCTTATGATAATTGGAATTCATTGAGATCTTGTTATTGTCATAATTACGTGTATCGAGAACCGCGTGAAATCAGTTGTCGCGGTAAATCGAAAATAAACAGGAGGAATGTAATAATAAAAGAGAAAGTTGTAAAAGAAGAAGAAGAAGGTTTTAGCATCGTAAGAAGAAATATAAGAATAATAACAATAACAATAAGTTCGCTATTAGCGAATACAATATTCCTGTTGGCATGGCGTCGAAAATTAGCAACGAGAATTTCGTTGACTTTATTGAACAACTGACGTTGTTGTCCTTTTCATCGTCACAGTCATCATCATCATCATCATCATCATCATCGTCATCATCATCATCATCATCATCATTATCATCGTCGTCGTTGTCGTCGTTGTTGTTGTTATTATCCTTCGCGAGATCGACGACTCCTCCTTATCGTCGTTGCGTTCAACGATAGGTCGGTCGGTCGAGCATGTCGAGTTACCATCGTGTGCTGCCTCCTCTATCGATCGTTTGTTCGTTAAATTATTAAACACACGCATGTACACTCATACACACACACACACACACACACACACACACATAGACACACATATTCGTCATCGTTTACGAAGAAACATAAGAGAAAAAGTCTGATTTCGCAACAACAACAACAACAACAACTTCAACAACAACTGCAACATCAACTACAACAACATTAACATCAAGAATAAGAAGAAGAAGAAGAAGAGCAATAGACACGACTTTAATACCTAACCCCAAGTGATAGGAAATCCAAGAGCCAAAGGGTTACGGAACGTGTCAGACTGACATCGAGACATTAAGGGGAAACTGTCGTCGCGAAAAAAACTTTAAGTATTCACGAACTAGCGCGCTAGCTAGCTAGGTCGACCCTGAAAACCATCGTGCCGCTTTAAAATCGTCGTTTAGTCGAATACGATCGGTGTGTGTACGATTACGATCCATTTTTATTCAATTTTTTTTTTTTGGGGAGTCAGTCCCACGACAGATACGAATAAAAATTTCCAAAGAAAGAACATAAAACAACAACAAAATATGTATCCCACGTTTAAGAGATATTACTTTCTATTAATCGATTTTAATTGAATAGAAGAAGTAAAACAAATAAAACATAAGCAAAAGAAGAGGAAAAAAATTCAATTGAAGAAAAAGCAGAAGAAAAAAAATTAAAAATGGCAGAGAGCGCGGCTAGTCCAGGTAGCGTGCAAGTCGCTGCCAATAGCCCGCAACAACAGCAACAACAACAGCAACAGCAAACCCAGCAACCACCGGATATAAGCAGTTCGCAGTTAGCCTCACCACCGATCACGGGAACAGGTACAGGATATATACCCTGTTGTTGTTTCCTTTATAGTTTAGCGTGCACGTATTTTATTATATTTGCGAATTATCTAGAATGAAATTAAATTAATTATTTAAATACGGGATAGATATTTCCGTAATATTATCTAAAATCTCAATTTCAATTATTTGAAATGCAATAAAAACAATGAAACAAGTTTGCGTATTCTGAACACACAAGATTCGTCATTTGCACTCTTGTTTCAAAGTTTATAAGAAATCTTGTATTTCAATAATTGTTTCTTAGAAACTGTTCGAAATAATTATTCTCTCATCGATGTGTGTTGTTCACACACATTTGATTCATTTAATTTAGTCCTTTTTTTTTAGTTGAATTAAATTCAATTTGTATGACCACCACCAGTTGTTTTTCACTTCTACAAAAAAGTATTTCTTTATTTTCTATTTACTTGAATGTTCAAAAAAGTAACGAACGGGTGATTAGATTTTGATTAGACAAATATCCCCATTAACAATATCGAAGGAATTTTGCATAGTTTAGGAATTGTTGAAATAACCACGAAATATTCTACGAAAATGTATAACGAGTGTGTAAACTTTGGACGGAAGCCAAGGTTGGTCATTTGTAGTACCTTTAAATGAAAATAAAACTCTTTCGCGCGAATTTTTATAACGATCAAATTAATCATTATAACTTTGAAATTAATTCAAATGGGATGTTATTAAAAAAGGGGACACAACATCACACGTGTTATACGAATTTACAATTAGTTCATTAGTATTGTATCTTCCTGTTCATTCCACGAGTAGGGTTCCCCTACCTGTATTTTCATTTCCTCAATTTTTCGGCAGTATCAACATTTCTAGATACATTCCTAGCTTATTATTCATCAGAATAGAGTACAACGAATAGTAGTCTGAGTACAAAGGTAAAACTGGACAAATACCTTACATATACACATATATGATACAAATTTCCAATAAACAAAAACCTCTTGTTGAATATATTTTTTTTATTATTATACTGCAGTAAAACAAACAAGCGAATGAATAAAAAAAGAAACAAATAGTAAGATACATATAACTAATATTTTTTTATATCCTTAATATGTAGAGTCTAGGAAAAGAATAGTAGTTCTATAGTAAAACGTGGGGAAAGAAAATAAGGACAAAGTTGTAGAGAAAAGATAGAAGAGAAAAAGAGAAAAACAAAAAGAGAGAGAGATTCGAGTAGTCGTAAATTTCGCACCTAACCGTAGACGAAGCGGATCCATCCATCCATCCATCCATCCCCACACAAAGAGAGAAAGAGACAGAGAGAGAGTGTGTGTTCAGAGAGAAAGAGAGTGTGTTGAGATAGAAAGAGAGTGTGTTGAGAGAGAAAGAAAGAGAGAGAGAGGGATAGAATACACGGATGTAGGGAGCCAGGAGAAGTAGAAGGTGGAGGGGAAGGAGGAGGAGGAGGAGGTAGAAGAAGGGTCGACGTATATATACCTACCTACGTAGCAAAGGAGGGAAAGAGAGAAAGAAAGAGAAAGAGAGAGAGAGAGAGAGAGAGAGAGAGAGAGAGAGAGAGAAAAGTTGGTTGAGTCGCGTTAGCGGATCTGTCGGTCGAGTAACGGAACGACCGCGAGTACCGCTAGCACCGGCTCTGACGTGGTTACCGGACAACCGTTAGGCTCGACGATCCGCGAGGAGTATTCTACTACCACGTGTTGTCTCTCACCGTGATGTATTTTCCTATAACGCAAACATACAACATCGATACGTTTCTGTTATATGTTTCAACAAAACTTTCAAATCTAATCTTATCTATTTATTTTTTAAGAATAACAAAATCTCATTTCCCCATAACGTTTATTATTAATTTTCTTTTTTAGCTACACATCACCACCATTACCATCCCAATTGGATTTTTGTTGTTGTTATTATTATTATATATCGTTAATGAATTAATATATGCAAGAGTTTATATTTGATTGTGTTTCTTTTTTAATTGCATGATCTTATATTGTAGAAATTGTTAATTGATCGTGTATTCAATGGTATATAACCTAATTGGATTTTTGTTTTGGTTATTATTATGTATCGTTAATGAATTAATATATGCAAGAGTTTATATTTGATTGCTTTTTTTGTTCAATTGCATGATCTTATATTGTAGAAATTGTTAATTGATCGTATTCAATGGTATATACCCCAAATGGATTTTTTTTTAGTTATTATTATGTATCGTTAATGAATTAATATATGCAAGAGTTTATATTTGATTATAACACTTTGATTGATTGATTTTTTTTTTTAATTGCATGATCTTATATCGTAGAAATTGTTAATTGATCGTATTCAATGGTATATCTTAGATTATTCCTGATTTTATTTATTTGGGTTATAGAATGTTAGGTAATTCATTGTGAATATAATGTTTTTTGGGTTTTTTATGAGAGGGGAGGTATAATTTTGTATTGAATTATGTCTGATATATTTATTCGCGTTTTTATAGAAAGATAGAAAACTTGTATGGATATAATATTATTTGTACAGTGTTTTCCTCTTAACTGCATCCGTTCTTATTTTTCTCGGCAAGTTCATACATTACGGTCTTTAATTTAATAAGATACAAAAGCATCGTTCATAAATTAAAGATCAAGGAAGCAAGCAAGTAAAGAAGCAAGGAAGCAAGCAAGCAAGAAACAAGAAGAACGATAGTAAAAGAATGAGGAATCGTTACGTCGAGAGGAACGTGAGTTGGATCAAGATGAACTTGAACTTTGAACTTGAACTCTTGGTGGAAACCTTCGAACCCTGAGGTTACATCCGGTTACGATTAAAATTCTCACGATTCGGAATCAATCCAAAGTACTGTTTATTACGTTTAGTATCGGTGTTGTTTGTTTTATAAAAAAAAAAAAATCAATTGATAAATCTAGCGCGCAAGAAAATCTTAAGTTAGCTGTTTTAATCTCTCGAATAGAATAGAAAAAGATATAAAAGAATAAGAATAAAAAGAAGAATAAAAAGAAGAAAATGAACTCTAGACGATAGTTACGGTTAACTCAGACACGCGTTACGTGTATCTAACTTCTAACGGGTTACAAAAAAAAAAAGAAAAAAGAACGTATTAGAGTTAAGAGGAATCCGCAATGAACGGCGGATGTTTCTCGCGTGACCGAGAAGAATGCTGTATTCTTAGTTCGCACCCTCTCGACATACTCCAGGGTCTAGAGGTTAGCCGGTCAGCTGTTTAATACTACTTTGTCTCTTTCTTTCTTCTTTCCCACCTTTCACAACTCAAACATTCAATTTGAAACTCATGAATCTTTGAAATTGACGATAATCAACCAATAGCTCAATAATCGGTTTGGTGCTAATGGAATTTCTAGAAAGGTAATGACTCGTAAAATGGACGGATGTGGTGTCAATTACGGCACTGTTAACTGTGGAAATTCCATTATCGATTATAATATTCCAATACATTATGGGAACTTAGAAATATGACCGGGAATGATGGGAGGAATAGAGGGGGATAACAAAAAAAGTAACTTATATTATTTCTCAAGTTTCTCCGGAAAAAGGATATTTTCATCTGAATGATTGTTTATTACTTATTATGATTTTCCGGTTGTAACAGGACTTACAGTGAAGTATTTACAACTCCGTTAAGTAGCTTCATTTATTGTTGTTGTTGTTGTTGTTGTGGTTGTTGGCTTTAATTGTTAGCATTTAATAAAGTTTAATAATTATTAATTGTAATTAAGTTATATAATCGATGATGATTGTTCGTAATTCGTAGGAATGGAAGAGTAAAGAGTATTATTACGATAGTATTATTACGATAATTGTACTTGCATAATCAACATTCTCATTATGGATATATTTCTGTTCAGTTACTGGCAAGTTACTAACCGATAGTTCACTCGTTAACTTCGTTAATAATTATTTGCGATTATCCGTTATATATACATCTATATTTTTATACATCTATCTATCTATATATATATATATATATAAAGTTGTATCCGGCTTATTAGCAATTAGATCATCAATTAACTGGCCGTTATTAACAAAATCCGTAATTATGCATCCGGTTGGTAACATAACTAATTACCGTTACAGTTTTCCTAGTTGGGCTTTATAACAGTAGCTAGGATACGCTCGTGAAGCTTTTACAATTCAACTATATGCTTAAATTATCACGAATACGGAAACAAATCGTAGTAGAGCTTTGATATTTACGCTAGTAAGAAAGAAAAAAACAAAAGCAATGACGGTAAAAACAGTAATAAATATAATTATACTAAGGGTGAAATAAAAAATAGGATACACATTTTAGATACTTCTTACAATTGTTCATAAGATTTATTACGCTAACACGACGAACGTGAGTTTACTAAAAATTAAATTGTAATTTTTCGTGATTTCGGATGTGTTAATGGTTAATGGGATTAAACATATCCTAATAATTACGAATTTCTCTATAAATATTTTTCCTATTCCGTGGTATACTACGATTCGTTTATTCCCTAACGAGCTTAGGAAACGTTCTAAGCTAAAAATGAGTTCGACGATGAAGAAGCCCTGTTTCGATGGATCGTGCAGTACGACCGTGGCATAGTTTGGCCTCTCTTACAAATCAGAATCAATGACTATGCTTTTGGTTGTTGTTGTTATTGTTGTTCTTCTTCTTTTTCTTCTTTTTCAACCATTAAATTCCAAGTTTCATCATCGACACCCAAGATACCATCGAACAATAACGCGTCATGTGTTTGTTTCAATTAATAAATATTTAGGTAATCCAAAATTAAAATATCAATGGGGGAAATAAATTATTTCTAAACCGTAGACAATTTTTCGAAAAAATATATTTACTCACTTTTGTCTTGAAACCAACCTAACGTACTCTCTTTCTCTCTCACCCCCTTGCACCCCTTCGTTTTTTCGTTTCTTCTTCATTCTTTCGTTTGAAGTGATGAGGAATTTAATAACGGCACGAACGTCAGAACCAAAATCAATAA